AATTGTCAGTAAGTGAGACCGTCTTTTTCAAGTACGCACCTATTACATCAGTAGACGTTGAAAGAAGCTTCTGCAGGAATGAAAATTTACTTTCAGACAAGAGACGCTCGTTTACATTTCAAATTATCAAAAAACATTTAATAATCCAATGTAATTCTGATATTTAGTAATATTATGAGATGGAAGTTGTTATATCCATTAAAGTTTCTATACAAAATAAAAATATTTTGGTGTCAATATATTTTCCTTTTCTTAATATTTTAGGATACAAAACATATTTTTTAAACTTTAATGAACGTAGAACAAGTATTGCATTGCTTTATATTTTTTAAATGACTCATAATAATTTTAAAGACCGAAATATTTTTTTAATTCAATATTTTTACTTTAATTAAGGCATTTTTTGTGCAATTTTTGCATTTTTAAGGACATTTTTGGCCCTTTTTAATTGCATTTTTTGCACTTTTTAAGGGCATTAGTTGAGATTTTTTAGGTCATCAAAATCCGGGCTCTAATTATTAGTCTCTCTTCATAAATTTCTTTATTTAAGGGTGATGTTTTTTTCCTTTCAGAGTTCGCTTCAAATTGATCATGATGAAATTGAGAAGTATCATTTATGCCCCCCCCCGGCAAGGGAACCCATGATCCGTCTACCACTGAGGATAATTTACGTCAGCATTGTGGTTAGTGCGAGACGGTTGCGGAATTCCTATCGACTAGCCATAGCAGGGATTCGTACCCAGTTCGCCTCAACGGAATTTGTCTTTTGTTTTAGAGACAGTAAAAAGAACGGACTTACTATGTATGTTGTACTATATTTTCTTCTGCAAAAAAAAATATCACCCTTCATTTATATTCTTTAAAACTACATTGCAATGAACGTCACCATCAGCAAACTAAACACTTAAGATAAAAAGGAAGACAAACGTTTATAGAGAAACTTCTGTTCAGAACAAGAGATTCTCACGTCTTCTTAGAATGTTTTCTAAGAACGAAAGGGAAGGGGACAGCCCCACAGCGGCCAATGACTCGTTGAACTCGAATGTACCATTGTTTCACCGACTGACATGCAATGATGTGCGTCTAACAGATGAGATGCTTCCCTTTTTTCTTTTTCTGTTTAATTGACGTTCAACGAGATACCGTTTGCTTTCAGAAAATAGTTCATTATCGGAACACTTAGAGGTTTATTTTAATTGACCAGATTAATTGATTAGAAGATAGATAATGTCAAGTGTGTTTTTTTAATGGATGCATTGATTGAGAATTTATGGGATGTTTAATTAACTTCACAATGCGAATGAAGCAGGTGACAATGAGTTTGGTACACATCTTTGTTTGAAGATCATATAAATTAATGGTGGTAATAAAAATGTCAGATCTATTTCCCCTCCCCTCTCTTTCTTTCTTTAATGAGTTGATTTGTTAATTTTATGCGGGGTGATATTCACTTACTTAATGATACGGCCCTTGTAAGAAATGAAGTCAGAAAATGTAAACACGTCAGGAGTTGATAATTAATATTTTAGGCAAGGAAGAAAAAAAAACACTTTTGAAATTTTTTTCATTACTAGTGATTATTATCTTTTATAAAGATATTAATATTGAAATTGACAATAGATTATTCAGAGCCGTGATAGCTCAGGAAATAAAGCGTTCGCCTTCCAATGAGGTCGAACCGGGTTCGAATCCCAGCGATGGCTGGTCGATACGAATTCCGTATCCGACTTCCACCGACCACAGTACGGACGTAAAATATTCTCATGGTAGAATCATGGGGTAGAGTCCCCTTAACGTCAGCCTAACCGTGGATGGCTTTCGTTGTTATCTTCTCTAGGTAACGAAAATAACGGCTAGTTACATCGAAAAGTCCTGAACGAAGTCGAATTTCTCTAATACATTATCCAGGAGTTCCCTTGTCTTCTAGATTGGGTTCAAAATGACAAGGCTACGGAATTGGACATTAGTAGTCGCAAACCCAAAAAATTGGGTCGGCTGTTCAACGACGATTATAAAATAAAATACAGGGTGTCTATAAAAGAGCTCCGGGGTTTTGAGGCAAAATATTTTAATGAAATATAAAACATACATACATGTTTTATACATGACTGAAAAGCTTACATTTTCAAGTTTTTTTTAACACTTAGTAAAGTTCTATGTGAGCCCCGTTAGTGGCACGGCAGACGTCTAAACGGTATTCTACCTCTTCCCATGTCCTGGCGAGCATGTCTGGGGGGACGGTTGACACACAATTGACTATTCGTTCCCTGAGATGTTAAACATCACGAATTTTCTCTGCATACACAAGATTCTTGATATGCCCCCAGAAGAAAAAATCCAACGGAATCCAAAAGAAAAAAACCAAAATCCAAATCCATTTCAAGGTCAACGCCCTGCAGCGCCGCCAACAGTTGATACAAATATTCCCAATTGGTATGAGTAAAACTTTTTGAGCTACTCTTTTCAGAGAAATCTTCTAAATTTTGCTATCTTTTATAATTAGTGAGATATGAATTTTTAAAACCCCGGAGTTCTTTTATAGACACCCCTGTACATTATTCAGTTCTAATGGGTGATATCATGGCTTTAAAAAAATATCAAAATTTGAACTACCGAATTTTAAGACAAAAATAAATATTTATACAACTCTTATTAGATCTATCCTATTGTATATTGTATGGTAGTGAATTCTGCCATTAGCAAAAATATTTGACCCAGTTAAGAAAAAAATTTATTGGAGAATTTTGTTTCATGATGAATTAAAAACAATCTAATATACAGATGGCATATTTTTAGACCTAACCCTGTCGAAAAAATCAACGTTTGCAAACAAACGTTCCAGAAAAAGTGGAAAATCTCGGTTTGTGTGGAGGCAGACATTTAAAAAGTCTACAGTTGACGGACCAAGACGAGGGTTCGTTGGAGGAAACATGCTGAGACTGCTTTGGTCTGCAGTGCATATGAAGAAGAAGAAGATCTATGTTTCCTTCCACAATCAATCAGATTTTGATGTATTTAAGTCCGTCTTCTTTAATAATGATTTGCTAGAATTCTATAGCATTTTTGTTTCTGCGTAACGCAAATAATAAGGAACGACTCCTTAAGTGCACACTATTTTTGACAAAGATTTTAAAAAATATATCTTAAAAGTGGATATTGCTGAACACCCTGTATATCTTGTCACAAGGTATTTAAATATACTTACGAGAAAATTGTCTAAATTTAAATTAAAACACTCACCGAAATTTTTACCAGTGTTTGAAGAATGTTTAGGGTGATTCAGCATAGAGGGAATGTAGGGGATACATCGTTGAGTCTTCACAGCAAATTTCGCCCCGAACAGACTCTCCGTTCCTATTTAAACCAGCAGTTTTATGTATCAAAGTCAAAATTTTATGTAGATTTTATGTTTCATAATAACTTGAATGAATTGCAAAGCAAGGAGAGCGTTAAGCCATTTCTCATCGGGTTTATTTGTAAGTTATGAACAAAGAATTTATAAATTCGCTGTTTTTTAAAAAGCACAGAAGTTAAAGTCTATTCGGGGTAGAAAGTAACAAAACATTACTGAAAAAAAAAAAAAAAAACGACCCTATGCTGGGTTATCAAAGGAAAGATTTCTAAATTTAAGAAATATTGGTGTGAAATCGATGTTGCGCAGCGTGAAACATTGATTTCCCTCCAAAATGATTGCATTGATTGCGCAATCAATGTTCGGAATTATGCGATAACGAAACACAATCGAAACTACCTAACAGATTATTCTATATTACATACACTGATACAACATGGCTTGGTGGACAATTCGTTCGATGGCAGACTGACTTTTATCTGAACATTTACATGAGTTCTTCTTTTTTATTTTCTTAAGGATTTATGTAACCTATAAATGTCTCTGCCATCAAAATAAAAAAATATCATTTTAGACTAAATTTTTTTTTTAATATCCTATGAAAAGTGCTAAAATACCCTTAATTCATTTCTGCTTATATAAGTTGATAATCCTTCCACAAATGATAGNAAACATAAAATATACTGGGGACATGAAAATGACTGTTTTTGTGAGAATGACCCATATATATATATAGTACTTAAAACAAAAAATGCTTCCAATTTTTCCTATAAATTTTAGTTTTCTTGAAGAAAAAAAATTGTATAACATTTACTTTGAGCATATTTGGGTTGTATTTTTACTTTATAGTGCAAAACAAGTACTACAAGAGAAAATTTCTGACTCACCTTGACGGATTGAAAATTATCTGAATTATAGTCGACCAAAATGTTTGAAATGAGGTTGTAGTAGCCCTTTAATTAACTTCCTAAATTTACTTCTAAAATATTCTATCATAAAAAGTACTTTATAAACACCAATCAGAAAAAATATATATAAAAAGTACGTACACTTTCTTTTTCAACTATATATTTTTCTAAATTTTTATGCTTTGGTTTTCTTGTGCCTTTAATTATAGCAAATAATCTGTTCTTTAAAAAGAACGCCATTGTCTTCCTACAATCCAAGTTCATATTATAATTTTTCACGTAGTATTCCCTGCGTAAATTTATGCGTTTATGTTGCGAAAAAAAATAGACTGAAAATTATTAAACAATGATCTAAGAGGATATTTTATTTATTTTTCAATGGAATGTTTATCGGTAAAGAATCGACATCATCACCGCCCTTATGAATAATACGACATTTATAAGTAGGATTTAAATCATATAGTATTAAAACAAGTTTTTAAAGATACGGGCTTAACATCATAGTTCACTGACCGTCTGTTTAATCACTACGTCACAAAATAGTAGTTTAGAATTATTCTGGCCGCCTTGTTTTCCCGCCACGGCAGACGAACTCGAATGTACGGGTCGCCTTTTTTGAATGACCTGTCCAGGCAGACGATCGTGAATTTTATTTTTAGGTTTTCATTTGCTCGTCAAAGCGAGACCCGCGATCTAAATGCAAGCTCCCTCTCTCTGCTCAATTTAGCTCGTCAAAATTAAAGGAAGATTAACGCACTTGCGACAATGCTTTCGGTTTTGGTTTCTCTTTTGTTTTTCGCCTTTTTCCTTCTCTTCGGAAGAAGGGTTTTGACGGTTGCAGTTACTGATTGATAGATACTTCCTTGTTGATCTGTTATCGTCTGAGGAATCAGAAGAAAAGCTCTTTCAAGTGGATTGAATTGCTGATAGCGAAAGGAAAATTGGTAGTCAAAAGTTGAAAGTGAAATCGGATTATAATATTCAAATTTTTTTATTCTATTATGCACAGGAGCTTATTGTAAAAAGATGATTTAAGAATATTTAACATAGTGACCTAAATGGTAGACTGCAGACGATTCTTGACTTAGAAATGCATGCTGGGAAAGCTATTTCTATTCAATAAATTAGTAAGGATAGTTAATTATTATTTCAGGAAATTCTGATGATCATACATACACAAGCATTCATTTACACTAGTATCAAGACTTAGATTAGTGTGGTAGCGTATTTAACACCAGATTTTCTAATATCATTTCTTGTTTACTTTATAAATACTTTAAAATAAATATTCCAATTTCAAAGTGCTCTTTTTCCAATATTCTTCTTTTAAGAGTACTGTCAAGTTAAACTAGTTAATCTGGTACTTTTTTTTTTCCTGGACTTGTGTACTTTGAATGAAATTGTCATTCTATAAATTAGATACAATTTAATACTATGAATATTTAAAAAAAAATATTCTTATTTATTAGCTTAACACTTAAAATATAGCTGAAATATAAATGTATGTATACATTTGAATTGAGGGCGGGATAAAGAGTAAAAGACGGGAAACGTTCTTACACCAGTTCTCAACTAAACAATTTATAATGAACGGTCACCACTGGCCATATACGACGACTAAATACAATAAATGACGATTAAACAATTGTCTGCCATCCGATCGTCGCTTTTTTTGTCAAAAGTGCACCCCGTGTGTATTCTATTATTATTATTTTAATAGATATTTGTAGCTTTTGTTTATTAAAATTTTGTTCTTTTAAATTTTTTCTTCATTGTAGAAATGAAACTTGTAACGTTTATCACATTTCAGAAATACTTCAAAAGAAATGCCAAACATAAATTTAAAATTTTCAACTTTAGAAAGAATGGCCACATGTTTCTAGAAGTGGTCAATGTTAAAAATGCTACAACGAGCCACTGGCCAGAAACAAAATTTCCCTATTTCGTCCTATGCTCAACATTAGCTTAGAGCCGCGATGGCTCAGGGGATAAAGAGTTCGCCTTCCAGTGAGCTGAGGAGGGGTTTGATCCCGGTCGATACGAATTCTACATCCGGCTTGCACCGATCACAGTGCTGACGTGAAATATCCTCAGTGGTAGACGGATCATGGGTTAGAGTCCCCTTGCCGTCAGGCTAACCGTGGTCTCGCTTCTCGTGGTCTTCCTCTCCATGTAACGCAAATGCGAGCTAGTTCCATCAAAAAGTCTTTCACGAAGGCAAATTTCTCCCTATACTTGATCCAGGAGTTCCTTTGTCTTCTGGATTGGGTTCAAAATTACGGGGCTGCGGAGTTGAACATTAGCAGTCGTAAAACCAAAAAATTCGGTCGGCTGTTCAACGACGGTTATAAAATTACAAAACATTAGCTTATGCTTCATGAAATATTGTTTGATACCATTAGCGTATGTGATGAAACATACGTCACATGTTTCAAAAAGTGGTCACTATTAAAAATACTACAACTAGAAATAGACTAAAAACAAATTTCCTAATTTTGTCCCATCATACTAAACAGTAGTCATCAACTGGAGTGAGTTCCATTACAACTATACCACTGCACTTAAATTCTAACGATATTTTAAAAAAGTCGACAAAAATACCAAAGTCACAGTTACATAACGAGTTTTTCTATGGCTAAAAACAGAAAATTCACATTAAAACGAAACAAAGTGAAACAAATAAGCAGTTAAAGAATGAGTTCAGCACGCAATAATCGTGACCATAACACCAGAAGAAAAAAAAATAACGGTTATAAGTGACCAGAAACAAACACACGTCCACCCTCGCTCACACCTACGCAAGTACCTGTTACTTCTTAAATACGTGTTATTGTAAAAACCTTTTAAGGTGCGATCATCGCTTGGACATGGCGCTCCCAAAAGCAATTCAAATTCTGCTTTTCAGACATCCGGATGAAATGAGCGAGAAGGAATAAAAAATTAGTCTGGGGGGCATTTAAACATTTGACAGAATGGCACGACCTCTCGACGAAATTATTTTCACCTTGAAGAAACAATGCTCAGTTTTATATGTTTTCACTAACTCCTTAGATTTATTTTTTTTCATGGCATACAGTTCCCTCTTTAACCCTTTTTAAGGAAATGGTTAATTTATTTACCACCAATTTCTAAATGTTTATGGCACCAGTTAATGTGCGCTGCCAACTGCTTATCACTTCCGTTCTGATGAAGCAATTTTTAATTAAGTTAGTAACCATATACCAATTAATGTGAACAAATCTATGCGTCCATGTTTTATTGAGGTTCTAGGACTCAATCTTAATGGCTCAAGGGGCTGACCTCAAATAGGCTAATAAATAAGTGCAGACGATATTTTAAAATACGAAGCCATACACAAAAACGTACTATCTCTGAATAAACATACATTTCTTTTAAGGATTCGGACCCCCCAAAATATAGGGGGTAGCCGCAATCTGGAAAATAGGGCCTCATAGGCTTGGTCAGGAGAGCGCTCCAAAGTTTGAACCCCTTAATGTTAATTTTACTTTTTGCGTATTTCGCTCTATATATCTCGAGAACTTTTTAAGTGAATTGAAGAAATTCTGCACACAATTCCGTGCTAAAACAGACCTTTAGTAAATATTTATTATTTTTAGTTTATTTAATAATTGTCGAAAAAATTTTGCGTTATCTTAAAGAATAAAATTTTACATAGCAAAATACAAAATTCGAGCGAAATCAGTCACATAGTTCCGGAAAAATCGAATTTTCGAATATCTGACTTTTTTGAAATTCAATTACGCAGGAGCTTTTCAAACGATTTCACTCAAATTTTGCAAAAATATATTGTTTTAAATGCTGAAAAAAATTGTATACCTTACAATTCAAATTTTTATCCGGCCATTATTAAATAAGATAATAAAAATAATTAATATTTACTGAAAGTTAGCTTTTGCATGGAATGATAAATGAATTACATAATTGGGTGCAAATTTTTTTTAATTAACTTACAAAGTTCTCGAAATACGCAAAAAGTAAATTGAACATTAAGGGGTCCCAACTATTGGGACCCTATTTTCCAGATCCTCAATATTTTAGAGGTCAAAAATCCCAATCCGTCAACAACGACAAAA